TGGTAAAAATCGAACATTTCTGCTACTTTGAGCTCAATTTCAAGGCACCTTTCATTGTAAAACCAGTCAAAATCATCTCAATTTCTGTAATATGTCTTCCATTCTATAAAATGAGACCAAGAAAACTAGAATACAACAATAAATACCATACGAAAATACACTGCAAAGTCGCTGATTTATTCCAAAAAAATGGTCAAAGTTTTTTTTTTCTCATTATGCACTGTGTGCTGCAGGATTTTTTTTAGACTGTGCACACTGACCACAGAGACCCATTCTTTCATATGAAGGCCTACCAGCTTTCTCCCACTAGATTTGAGGCCGCTAGAATTTATGAGTACTAGTACGTCAAAAACCCCTATGCATAAGACGTACTAGTACGACCAAAACCCTCAAAGGGTTAACAACTATGGGAATCATTTCCCTTATGGTTTAATCTCAAATCAGGTCTAAATTAAAACATAGTCTGTATTATGTTACACTGGACTAACACTGAGTGTTCAGTAAGATATGCCTGTAACCTGCCACTCTGAACCAGCGCTCAACATTCAGCAAGGCAGCCTGTAACCTGCCACTCTGAACCAGCGCTCAACATTCAGCAAGGCAGCCTGTAACCTGCCACTCTGAACCAGCGCTCAACATTCAGCAAGGCAGCCTGTAACCTGCCACTCTGAACCAGCACTCAACATTCAGCAAGGCAGCCTGTAACCTGCCACTCTGAACCAGCGCTCAACATTCAGCAAGGCAGCCTGTAACCTGTCACTCTGAACCAGCGCTCAACATTCAGCAAGGCAGCCTGTAACCTGTCACTCTGAACCAGCGCTCAACATTCAGCAAGGCAGCCTGTAACCTGTCACTCTGAACCAGCGCTCAACATTCAGCAAGGCAGCCTGTAACCTGTCACTCTGAACCAGCGCTCAACATTCAGCAAGGCAGCCTGTAACCTGTCACTCTGAACCAGCGCTCAACATTCAGCAAGGCAGCCTGTAACCTGCCACTCTGAACCAGCGCTCAACATTCAGCAAGGCAGCCTGTAACCTGTCACTTGCTTCATTTATCACTTCTCAAGCATACAATACTGTCTATCAACAAAGCCAACATATGCATTAATACATTTTGCTGGAAATAATCCCAGGTGTCTACATATTGTAGGCATTCTTCTTCTTTCAGCAAACCGGATATATCCCACTGAGGCAGAGTGGCCCAAAAAGAAAAACACAAGTTTCTCTTTTTAACAAACCATACCACGGGTGGGGATAGAACCCACGATCAGAGTCTCAAAACTCCAGACCGTTTTGAGACTCCCTGATAGCGGGTTTTATCTCCGCCTGTGGTATGGTTTGTTTTCAATCGTGTCATTACAATTTCTTGAGTCAAGTTCTCTTTTTAACTTCAGTGGTGTATACAGGAGAAGGGGTTATTAGTCCCCTTGCTCCTGGCATTTTAGTCGCCTCTTACAACACACATGGCTAACGGAGGCATTCATTGTTGAAAAAACTTTATTGTTTCCTCGACATTTTAAAATATAAATGCAATATTCGGGCAGAAAGGCTGTGCTGTAAGATTTCCAAGACAGAAGAACCATTTGGTTATCCAAAATTCTTTCAATACAAAATTTATGCTAACAATATTTAATTGTTCTATTATTATAAATTTTCACCTTTTTTAATTAATCTGCTACCATCATAGCTTTCAAAATAGTAGTATCAATCACAATAAAATTAAAACAGTTCAAATTTGATAGAAGTCATCACCTCTAAGCCATAGTATATTTTAATGTAATAGAGAATCTCCTTCCTGTACAGGCCAATAAACGAGTTCTTGGTCAAGCACTCAGACCGCTCAAGGATGGAAGGCATTGTGCCTTACGTTTTACTAAAGTCAGAAAATGCAATAGAGGTGTGATGTCCATGACTAAGTTGAAAATGTATACGAGTTACAATAAGTTCTGAGACAAGCTATGAAATGTTTCCCAGAGTTGAGGAATACAAATCATACAGGAAGACTAAAATCACAAAATTCCCTTTCTGGCCCAGAGGATTCAGAGATATAACACTATTTCAGTTTATAAAACAATACAAAAAAAATGGATGACGATTTCCTACCATCAAGATCAGGCTGTAGTCGTCAATTGGGAAAAAGGGGGTAAGAAAGGTGCGAAAAAGGATACCAGAAAAATGTTCTTCTTGGTGAAACATTGGAATGAGATGCAAAAGGTCATAAATGCTACAACATAGAAAGTTAAGAACATAAGAAAGAAGGAACACTGCAACAGGCCTACTGGCATATTGTGAGGCAGGTCCAATTCTCCCACCAGCTTAAGCCAATGCCTTAACCTAGTCAGGTCAGTCACATTCACTTAAGGAAGGAGCACGGCATCTGACCTAGTAGCACAAGCTAGTCAGGTCCAATTCACACCCACCCATACCCACTCATGTATTTATCCAACCTATTTCTAAAACTAAATGACTTAGCTTTGGGAGATTGTTAAAAAAAAAATTCTATTCTGTATTAAATATTAAGGTGGAACACTACAAGATTAGTACTGCACCTTTAACTACAAATATGTAATTACAAATTGGCAATCACAGACCTAAATTTTATTCCAAGGCATCAGAAAGATTAGCGTTATATTCATTTAAAGCACTATACCTTCTTGAAGGTAATGTGCAAGAGATGGAGGGGAAGAAGTGACCTTGAGGGAAGGACATTAAGGAAGAAGTGACCTTGAGGGAAGGACATTAATTTAACCCTTTGACTGTTTTGGTCGTATATATACGTCTTATGAGCCAGTGTTTCTGACGTATATATACTCAATAATTCTAGCGGCTTCAAATCAAGCGGAAGAAAGCTGGTAGGCCTACATGTGAGAGAATGGGTCTGTGTGGTCAGTGTGCACCACATAAAAAAAATCCTGCAGCACACAGTGCGTAATGAAAAAAAAAAAACTGATCGTTTTTTTGGATTAAAACGCCAACTTTGAGGTGTATTTTCGTATAGTATTTATCGATGTATTTGCGTTTTCATGGTCTTAGGTGATAAAATGGAAAACATATTTCAGAAATAGAGATGATTTTCATTACTTTGACGATGAAAACGACCTTGAAACTGAGCTCAAAGTAGCGGAAATGTTCGATTTTTACCAATGTTCAGGAGTAAACAAATCACACCACACGTCCAATATACGTCAACTGGGGAGTCTAATATTCTTTCACTAGTGCACTGATATTATTTATACCATTTTTACAATAATGCAGTAGTCTGCATAACAGTAAATTTTGTATTTTTTTGTATGAATAAAAAATCAAAATAGAAAGCAATAATAATATAAGAGGGGCCTAGAGATGTGACTAATGAACAGAGGATATGTTATTCTAGTGCCAAGAATGTCTACCTTGTTTATTCTGGACCCTATTTTGAAATTGGCATCTTTTTTAGTTTGCGTGAAATTGGCCAAATTGCCAATTTCTGACCACAATATTGGGTAGTCCAAATTGGTAAAGGGAGGTTTCTTGTACTCAGCTGATAGATAAAATGGAGTTCTAAAGAAATAGCTATGAGTTTGGTCAACTGGAACAACGGAATTGGCTGAAAATAGGGCTCAAAGTCGGCAAAATCGCCGATACGCATATGTCGCCGAGACCACTAACTTCGCGGGAGCGTAATTCCATGAGTTTTCGACCGAATTTCGAACTTTTGGTGTCATTACCATCGGGAAAAGATTCTCTATCATTTCATAAGAAAAAATAATTTTTTTTTTTTCAAAAATTTAGCGACATAGAATGACAGTTTCAGAAAGGGGCCTGAAACAGTCAAAGGGTTAAAGACAGGTGGGATAATGAAAGGAATAACAGTTAAAGGAAATCGGTATCAGTTTAACCCGTAAACGGTCCAAGCAGATCTACGTTCACATGTGCAGTGCTCCAAAAGCAGATCTACGTTTTTTTTACATATTTTCAAATATAACAAAAAAAAAAGTAGATCAAAGTTTTTTTACACGTTTTGAAATGTAAAAAAAAAAAAAAATGATGATCTCCTTTTTTACATACTTTCGAATGTTGAAAAAATGTATATATACGTTTGGACCGTTTATGGGTTAATCAAAATATCTGTCAGTTAAGAAACCACAACTCAGCAGCAAGGGTGAGACCATCACAAAGGCAGCCAAATTATGTATGTCAGACTATGGAAAGAAGCCTAGAGGCTGCAGCAAGATGACTCAAATATTTGGTACTAGTTTTATACAGTACTACAGCATGTACTGGTACAGAGTACAACAATTGTATGTGATATGACCAAGTATGAAAGGACAGGCAGCACAATGCATATATAAACTACTTCCCTGCAAGAATTTACCAGTATTACCCATGACAATCCTCTGTTACAAGAAATATTCTAAAACCAGATAGCTTCTAAGTAAGCCTTTAAAACCCTAGGCTACTAACTATAAAGTTGTTAGCCTGCTTAAAGTTGCATACATCTCAGTACTACAGTATTAAACTGAATCATGCTATTAATTATTAGTTATCAATTATTAACTAACAAACACTATCAAGGAAAATCACCAGACACAGTTCTTAACCGATGACCCACATCAAGGGTTTTCCTCCATTTTTTGAACCAAGTGCTTTGTTATCAACAAGACTTGTTGATCTTAAGTTAGTCTTAAGTTAATCTTAAGTTAGTCTGAAATGCTCTGCATATTAAGGGATTTTCTGCATGCGCACCTAAATGTCTTTCACCTGTGTACAAACATTGTATCATGCTGAAATAAAGTATCTTAGTATTTATCATAGTCTTGTAAGGAAGTTTCAGTAAAGAAGTCAAATAGCAAGTAGTGTAAATAACCAAATAATGAAAAAGGATGAAAGACACGTAGAAGCAAAAAAGCATTATTCTTTCAACACATCCAATTTTAATAACAAACACACAGGCACACACGAGTGGATCGTCGAGAACCTAGAGAGAGAGAGGGGGGGGGAAAGGGATATAAAAGCACTGACCTCACGGTGTTTGCGGCGGCGGTGTTCCTCTGCCATGGCTGCCACTCCTTCGTCATCTACAAACTGCCGTGGGAAAAATGTTTGAGAGTGTATGTACATGCACACTCACATTCACACTTGCGCAATCAACAAAAAATGACGAACTAGTAACACAGGTAATGGCCATGAGAACAGAGTTGGCGGCAAGACATGATGCATAGGAAAACAAAACCTATAATTCGTCAAATAATAAAATAAAAGAAATACAGGTAAAAAAAGACAAAATTATATGCAATACCTTAACCCTTTGACTGTTTTGGTCGTATATATACGTCTTACGAGCCAGTGTTTCTGACGTATATATACTCAATAATTCTAGCGGCTTCAAATCAAGCGGAAGAAAGCTGGTAGGCCTACATGTGAGAGAATGGGTCTGTGTGGTCAGTGTGCACCACATAAAAAAAATCCTGCAGCACACAGTGCGTAATGAGAAAAAAAAAAAACTGATCTTTTTTTGGATTAAAACACCAGCTTTGAGGTGTATTTTCGTATAGTATTTATCGATGTATTTGCGTTTTCATGGTCTTAGGTGATAAAATGGAAAACATATTTCAAAAATAGAGATGATTTTCATTACTTTGACGATGAAAACGACCTTGAAACTGAGCTTAAAGTAGCGGAAATGTTCGATTTTTACCAATGTTCAGGAGTAAACAAATCACACCACACGTCCAATATACGTCACCTGGGGAGTCTAATATTCTTTCACTAGTGCACTGATATTATTTATACCATTTTTACAATAATGCAGTAGTCTGCATAACAGTAAATTTTGTATTTTTTTGTATGAATAAAAAATCAAAATAGAAAGCAATAATAACATAAGAGGGGCCTAGAGATGTGACTAATGAACAGAGGATATGATATTTTAGTGCCAAGAATGTCTACCTTGTTTATTCTGGACCCTATTTTGAAATTGGCATCTTTTTTAGTTTGCGTGAAATTGGCCAAATTGCCAATTTCTGACCACAATATTGGGTAGTCCAAATTGGTAAATGGGAGGTTTCTTGTACTCAGCTGATAGAGAAAATGGAGTTCTAAAGAAATAGCTACGAGTTTGGTCAACTGGAACAACGGAATTGGCTGAAAATAGGGCTCAAAGTCGGCGAAATCGCCGATACGCATATGTCGCTGAGACCGCTAACTTTGCGGGAGTGTAATTCCATGAGTTTTCGACCAAATTTCGAACTTTTGGTGTCATTACCATCGGGAACAGATTCTCTATCATTTCATAAGAAAAAATAATTTTTTTTTTTCAAAAATTTTAGCGACATAGAATGACAGTTTGAGAAAGGGGCCTGAAACAGTCAAAGGGTTAAAATCAAGATTATAAAATTGGTAATAATGTTGGTAGAATTACTGAAAATATGTTAGGTAAGAGGACACATGGTAAGAGGATGCATGGTAAGCGGTATGAGGGGACATGTTTTGCTCTTCAGGAGCTTTGTCAAGCTCCGGGAGAGTGAAACGTTGCCACAATAAATTGTCACATGAGTTGCACTCGTGTCCTTTTACTAACAATTATAGAAATAGATAAAGATGCAAAACTTTCAATATTTCAATGCTTACACTGGGATTTTCAGCGAATTTTCTATGCTGAGGATGATCCCAGTATAGGTATTGAAATGCATAAGTTTTTTCCTTAACTACTTTCAAAATGTGGGTTTTTTGAGTGGCTTAAAAGTGTCACATTGCATTTTCTTCTTTATAAAAAGTACACAATAAAATAAGTGAAGCATAGCAGAAAATAATAACTCAAAGCCCAGATAAAACAAAATTTAAGAGAAGACAAACAGGACAATGCAAATCTTACACGAGAGCTTTGAAAAGCAATCAAAGTTAAGAACTACGAAAAAGCTGAAGCAAAGTAAAGGAGCATCACAGCTATCATCAACATGAGAGACCTAAAAGACAATAGCAAACAGTCCAAAACATCTGAAGGAAACTGTGGACAAAAAAGTTACTGTCCTAAATATCTGAAGGAAACTGTGGACAGAGGAAGAGTTACTGTCCTAAATATCTGAAGGAAACTGTGGACAGAGGAAGAGTTACTGTCCTAAATATCTGAAGGAAACTGTGGACAGAGGAAGAGTTTTTTTTTTTTTTCCAACAAGTCGGCCATCTCCCACCAAAGCAGGGTGACCCAAAAAAGAAAGAAAAAATCCCCAAAAAGAAAATACTTTCATCATCATTCAACACTTTCACCACACTCACACATTATCACTGTTTTTGCAGAGGTGCTCAGAATACAACAGTTTAGAAGCATACACATATAAAGATACACAACATATCCCTCCAAACTGCCAATATCCCAAACCCCTCTTTTAACGTGCAGGCATTGTACTTCCCATTTCCAGGACTCAAGTCCAACTATATGAAAATAACCGGTTTCCCTGAATCCCTTCACTAAATATTACCCTGCTCACACTCCAACAGATCGTCAGGTCCCAAGTACCATTCGTCTCCATTCACTCCTAACACGCTCACGCATGCTTGCTGGAAGTCCAAGCCCCTTGCCCACAAAACCTCCTTTACCCCCTCTCTCCAACCCTTTCGAGGACGACCCCTACCCCACCTTCCTTCCCCTATAGATTTATATGCTTTCCATGTCATTCCACTTTGATCCATTCTCTCTAAATGACCAAACCACCTCAACAACCCCTCTTCTGCCCTCTGACTAATACTTTTATTAACTCCACACCTTTTCCTAATTTCCACACTCCAAATTTCTGCATAATATTTACACCACACATTGCCCTTAAACAGGACATCTCCACTGCCTCCAACCGTCTCCTCGCTGCTGCATTTACCACCCAAGCTTCACACCCATATAAGAGTGTTGGTACTACTATACTTTCATACATTCCCTTCTTTGCCTCCATAGATAACGTTTTTTGACTCCACATAATACCTCAATGCACCACTCACCTTTTTTCCCTCATCAATTCTATGATTAACCTCATCCTTCATAAATCCATCCGCCGACACGTCAACTCCCAAGTATCTGAAAACATTCACTTCTACCATACTCCTCCTCCCCAATTTGATATCCAATTTTTCTTTATCTAAATCATTTGATACCCTCATCACCTTACTCTTTTCTATGTTCACTTTCAACTTTCTACCTTTACACACATTCTCAAACTCATCCACTAACCTTTGCAATTTTTCTTTAAAATCTCCCATAAGCACAGTATCATCAGCAAAAAGTAACCGTGTCAATTCCCATTTTGAATTTGATTCCCCAAAATTTAATCCCACCTCTCTCCGGAACACCCTAGCATTTACTTCCTTTACAACCCCATCTATAAATATATTAAACAACCATGGTGACATTACACATCCCTGTCTAAGACCTACTTTTACCGGGAAGTATTCTCCCTCTCTTCTACAAACCCTAACCTGAGCTTCATTATCCTCATAAAAACTCTTTACAGCATTTAATAACTTACCACCTATTCCATATACGTACTTGCAACATCTGCCACATTGCTCCTCTATCCACTCTATCATATGCCTTTTCTAAATCCATAAATGCAATAAAAACTTCCCTACCTTTATCTAAATATACTGTTCACATATATGCTTCAATGTAAACACTTGATCTACACATCCCCTACCCACTCTGAAACCTCCTTGCTCATCCGCAATTCTACATTCTGTCTTACCTCTAATTCTTTCAATTATAACCCTACCGTACACTTTTCCTGGTATACTCAGTAAACTTATTCCTCTATAATTTTTACAGTCTCTTTTGTCCCCTTTCCTTTTATATAAAGGGACTATACATGCTCTCCACCAATCCCTAGGTACCTTCCCCTCTTTCATACATTTATTAAACAAAAGTACCAACCACTCCAACACTATATCCCCCCTTGCTTTTAACATTTCTGTCATGATCCCATCAGTTCCAGCTGCTTTACCCCCTTTCATTCTACGTAATGCCTCACGTACCTCCACCACACTTACATTCTGCTCTTCTTCACTCCTAAAAGATGGTATACATCCCTGACCAGTGTATGAAATTACTGCCTCTCTTTCTTCCTTAACATTTAAAAGTTCCTCAAAATATTCTCGTCATCTACCTAATACCTCCATCTCCCCATCTACTAACTCCCCTACTCTGTTTTTAACTGACAAATCCATACTTTCCCTAGGCTTTCTTAGCTTGTTTAACTCACTCCAAAACTTTTTCTTATTTTCATTAAAATTTCTTGACAGTGCCTCTCCCACTCTATCATCTGCTCTCCTTTTGCACTCTCTTTACCTTTCTTTTACTCTCCATATACTCTGCTCTTCTTTTAACACTTCTGCTTTGTAAAAACCTCTCGTAAGCTACCTTTTTCTCTTTTATCACACCCTTTACTTCATCATTCCACCAATCACTCCTCTTTCCTCCTGCCCCCACCCTCCTATAACCACAAACTTCTGCCCCACATTCTAATACTGCATTTTTAAAACTATTCCAACCCTCTTCAACCCCCCCACTACTCATCTTTGCACTAGCCCACCTTTCTGCCAATAGTCGCTTATATCTCACCCGAACTTCCTCCTCCCTTAGTTTATACACTTTCACCTCCCTCTTACTTGTTGTTGCCACATTCCTCTTTTCCCATCTACCTCTTACTCTAACTGTAGCTACAACTAAATAATGTTCCGATACATCAGTTGCCCCTCTATAAACATGCACATCCTGGAGCCTACCCATCAACCTTTAATCCACCAATACATAATCTAATAAACTACTTTCATTACGTGCTACATCATACCTTGTATATTTATCCTCTTTTTCATAAAATATGTATTACTACTACCAAATCTCTTTCTACACATAGCTCAATTAAAGGCTCCCCATTTACATTTACCCCTGGCACCCCAAATTTACCTACTACTCCCTCCATAACATTTTTACCCACTTTAGCATTGAAATCCCCAACCACCATTACTCTCACACTTGATTCAAAACTCCCCACGCATTCACTCAACATTTCCCAAAATCTCTCTCTCTCCTCTACACTTCTATC